CCAGGGCCTTCACACTGAGCTTCATCTCCAGCCCTTTTTTATTTTGAACCAGAGTCTCACTAAGGCCATAGGTTGCCCAGGCCAGGCTCAAACTTGCAACCCTCCTACCTCAGCCTCACAGAGTGTCTGTTGTCTGGTTCTCACACGAGGTTACAAAAGTCGCTTCTCAGGCGTGTCCAGAAACGTTAAATACCTCGACTGCACCTCTTAACCCTGTGTTTGTGTAGTACTGCAGGTCCTGTCCTAGTGCAGCATCAGGCCTAATCACACCTTTTCCCTCACACGTGGCCGCTGCCGCCCTTGTGAATGCCGCTCGGCCTCTGCATCTGCCTGACACTGACAGCAGCTGCAGTGGCAGAGAGAGACATACTCGCCTCCAGAGAAGAGCTTCCGGTTATTTCATCTGTGCATGTGTGTTCAGAAACAGAAGCGTCCTATCCCCCGGGTGTACTTGAGCTCCTGTCCGCCTACTCCTTGTCTTCCAGGGGCCCTGAAGACACGTGCTTTGAGTTCGGTGTTTTTCCTGCCATCCTGAGCTTCCCACTGGATTACCCACTGAGTCCGCCAAAGATGCGCTTCACCTGCGAGATGTTTCACCCCAACAGTGAGTGCTTCTGCACACGGGCTGTGGGCCCATTGACCCGGCAAGCGTGGGTTCCACTTCAGGAGTGGAAACCAGAGAAAGGGGAGGTGGAGCCCAGCTCTGACAGTGTGCATAGGGGTGGCTGCTGTGGAGGAGCAGGGCTTGCCCTGGCGTGGGGTCAGATGGGCACCCGCAGCAGCAGGAGGCCTGCCGTCCAGCTCTGCTGGTCATCGTCTCAGTCCTGGTCTCGCTAGCCTGTAACAGGCACTGTAGGTGACAGATGTGTGTGCAGAGCTGAGAATCTGACCAGTCTCACAACCCGGGAATGGTGGGGGTCAGGCTTTGTCCTACTCCTAGTTCCATTGGGAATCTGAGGCCCAAGAAAAGAGTCATGGTTTTCAGCAAAGACCATTTTGAACTCCCTGCCTGGATCAGAAGAGGACATAAATGGTGCTTTTGGTGAGCGAGAGGTTAAGGGCCCAGGAGCTTGCTTGTTCTTTGCCGTGGTATCCTCTGTGTCATGGCTGTGTCAGCAGGAGAGACAGAAGCTACACCAGTGCACGATGCCGTGTGCCGGGATATAGACCCTTTAAGACGAGCCTGTAGGGTTCGAGCTGTGGGAAAGTAACGGTGCCATTAACACCGTGGTTTCTACTGTGAAGGGCAGCTTAATGTGGAAAAGGAAAACAGGAACCTGAACTGGCCCAGCGTCCTGCCTCAGTGGCTGTGCGGGGGTTTTAGGTGGGCATGTGCTCAGCAGCTACACTGGCCCTCATTACAGAGTATCTCTTTTTTTTTTTGGTACGGGGGATCGAACTTGGGACCTTGCGCTTTCGAGGCAGGTGGCGGAACCACTGAGCTAAATCCCCGGCCTGTTACAGAGTATTTTTAATGGCAAAAAATGTGGAATCAATCTTTCAACAATAGAGAATAAATACTATTTTTTTGTGGTGCTGAGGACAGAACCTATAGTCTTGCATATACTAAGCAAGGACTCTGCCACCCAGCTACACACCCAATAAATATTTTAATTCTCAGATAATTAAGTAGCTTTTAAATTTTGCCTTACTGTGAACCGATATTTTTATTTTATAAAAGTGAATTTTGAGAACTATTCTAAATGTCTCAAAGATTGGTCTCTCAGTAAAAACTTGGAAGAAGTCCTTCAGCACCTCTGCTGGCACTGCTGGGTGCGGTAGTGACCCAGTCGCCCGAGGACAGGCGGACCCTGCTGCAGGAGCCGCACGCAGGGGCCAGGGCGCCCTGCCGGCTGATGTGAGCTGGCCCCTTCGGGAGGAGCAGGGTCACCCAGCCTTCTGGGGGCTGTACTGGGGGCCAGGGCCAGGCCAGCTGGCTGTGGCTGATCTTTCTTCTGTCCTTGGGGGTCCTTGAGGGGTGGGCCAGCACGGCCAGGTCCCCAAAGGGCTGCTCTGGGGTAGGGCAATGGGCGAGCGGGAGGACGTGGGTGGAAGTGCAGTTGATGACACCCAGAGAAGGTTGGGCCGTGGCAAGGGCACCCTGCTCTGGCTGTCTCTGGGCTGTGCAGTGTCCCCACAGAGCACCGTCACCTCGAGGGGGTGGCGCTGACCGGGCAAACTTCTGATTCCTGCAGGTCCTGCAGCGCCAGCACGGTCCTGGGAGCTCTGGCGCCCAGATTCCGTGTGTGGACTGCAGACGGCCAGGGCCAACGTCCCCCTGGCTTCTCCAATAACGAGAGGTGGTGGGCAACTCCGAAGAAAAGGCCCTTTGGGGGTTCATGAACTACCAGTGTTCTAGGCTTTCGTGAAATTCTGCTTCATGAGTTAAGGTGAATTAAATGTTTACTTTGAGTTGTCAGCTGCAACCTCAGTGGCTTCAGACAGGTTACTGTGTGACTGAGTGAGTCAGATTCTCCACGGTCTCCTGGGCAGACGTGACAGTAACGTGTGCCTGACTCCCAGCAAGCCCTATGCCCTGAAGACACCCCCCCCCCCGTCTTGTTAGCACTGCACCTGGAGGGGAGGGGAGGGCCGGGCCGCATCGGCTCACACCGACCTGCCAAGTGGGGGTGACTTCTCTTAGAACAGCTGTGGAAATCCCAGTGCCATTCTTTCTCCGGATAGTGAAGTAATTCCAGTTGCCGTTAAGCTAGCCATGTGAACGTGTATTTTATACAGTCGAGCTCAGGGATTTAATGGTAAAATTGGGAATGTCTGTGAAATCTGGCTCTGCAAAGTATTTTGAATAATCCTAATTTTGGTGAAATGTTTGCCAGATCACCTTTCATTCACAAGATAATGCTTAAAGACATCTGTTAGAAGGTGGACTCCTTCTAGGACTGGGCAGAGCTGGGCAGCCCTGTGGGGCCCAGCTTGCAGGCCGCAGCAGGGTGGTGTTGGTGTGCAGCGTGCCACTCAGGCCCTGGCTCTTCCTCTGCTGTACAAACGGCCGAGTCCTTCTGCACTCCTTGTCCTCTGCCTGTGGCATCTGCCCCAGCGCTGCATTGCCCAGGGCACCATGTGCGGCTCACCTGGCTGCCTCTGACCCTTGCAGTCTACCCCGACGGCAGAGTCTGCATCTCCATCCTTCACGCGCCAGGCGACGACCCCATGGGCTATGAGAGCAGTGCTGAGAGGTGGAGCCCTGTGCAGAGCGTGGAGAAGATCTTGCTGTCAGTTGTGAGCATGCTGGCAGGTAGGACGGCCCCGGGGCCGGGCCCTGTGTTGCTGGCTCCTGTCCCTCCCTCAGTCGCGCCTGGGTTTTATTTCTTCGTAATTAATCTGTGGAATTATTTTAATTTAGTGCTGCTTGTCTCCACTTTTCCAAACGTAAACATACTTTTCATAATTATAAATTCTAAAGACAGTCTGGTGTCACATGGCACACTGTGCACCGTGGTGGGCCATCCTCTGATGCTTGGGCATCTCGTTCACTCAGTAGGTATTTATTATGTCTCACACTACGCTGCATGTATAAAGCTCAGTGTGACAGAGGCCCATGCTCTGAAGCCCCGCATTCCATGGGAACTTCCCAAGTCCATCAGTAGCTACATGCCAGTGTGGTAAGTCACACCTGGCCCACAGACCACTTCCTGGGATGAGCTGAGTTAGCCAGGAGTTCAGAAGAGGGAGGGAAAGGCATTTAGGGTGGAGGAAACAGCTGGCCCAAGGTAGCACTGGCCGGACCCGTGGGGCACTGCCAGTTCTACAGCAGGAGCCAAGGCTGGAGGGGCCCTGCAGACGTGAGCTGCACAGTGGCCCGACGTCCGTGGGGACGACAGTGGCACGATGTCTCTGACTGTGCCTCGGGAAGACCGCACCTGCAGCCCTGGGCAGGTGGTGTGGTCGGAGGGGGGCCCAGGCCTGGTGGGTCAGGAGTTGTCAGCCTCCAGGAGCCCAGCCAGTCAGAGGGGTGGGAGGGCCTGGAGTGCAGGCTGTGGGGCTCCTCCCTGGTGCGCAGGAGAGGAGTCGTGTGTCTGCTGTGCGGGCGGGGTCAGGACTATGGAGCAGTCCAGATGTGGGGTGCGGGGAACAAGCAACACACCCACCCAGTGGAGCTGCTGCTCGGTCCCCACAGCAGGAGCTGCTGTGCCCGTGGCTGGCTGTGGAACTGTGCGGCTCCCAGCAGCGCCCCCACTGCGGCCTTGGCTCCCCGTGGGGACAGGCGAGAAGGCCCGCGAGTCTGCGGCACGTTCCCGGGAAAGGCTGCTCTCGTCAGGCTGCCGCGCAGACTCCCTTTCACGCGCAGGGCCGGCCCTTGTCTTTCAGAGCCCAACGACGAGAGTGGCGCCAATGTGGATGCTTCTAAAATGTGGCGGGATGACCGCGAGCAGTTTCACAAGATCGCCAAGCAGATTGTGCAGAAGTCCCTGGGGCTGTGAGGCTGCGCCGCACTCGGGCACACACGCACCTCAGAGCAGCTCCCGCTCGCTCCTGCAGACATGGGCAGTGCTGCCGTGCTGGCACCGACACAGGCATCACAGAATGCAGCCCGCCCTCTTACCTTTCCACCCAGACAGTGCTCTCTGGGACCGGCGGCTCACTGCGTGCTGCAGCATCCCAGGGTCCCTCCTGGGCCAGGTCGGCCCGCCCGGTCTGTCTGCCCCGCCGTCACTACCTCTCCTTCCTCCTGCAGCGTGGCCTGCAGCTGCCCTCCCACCTGGGGCCATGGGCCAGGCCTCGGGCTGACAGGACACCAGCGAGGCTCCTTGAGAAGATGTGGCCTTGGTGGAAGCAGTGGGTAGAGCTGCGGGCTCCCTGTCGGTGCCCGGTCCCGTGTGCCCCGGGAGGCGCCCATCACTTCCTTTCTGGCCTGGTACTTAGCGCAGGGCTGGCTCTCACAGCTGCTGCTGCGTTCTCATACGTAGACACCCTCTGGGAGACACTGGAAGTGCGCCCTTGAAGAGCGGGGCTGTAGAACATGTGGTTACTTCAAGCCACAAAACTGATGGCTTCCCCTGGTTGCATTTTAGGGTTTGCATCCAGGTCCTCGTTACCGGCACTCTGCTGGAGAGCAAGCTGAGCGGAGCGTCACAGAGGCAGTGCTGTCTTCTCCTGGACCCTGAAAAAGTTTCCCTTTCCAATCTAAAGCTGAGAGGCTCCAGGGTTCCTCCCTGTGCACTGCGGCTGCACCCGGAAGCCGACTGAGTGGCCCAGAGTCAGGTGGCGGGCGGTCTACGACTTTAATGTGGCCTGAGTGTCCCCATCAGTGGATGGGGCTGAGCAGCACAGTGCCTGGCGGAGGCGCATACAAGCAATAACAGATCTGTCTCGAGCAGGAGCACACACCTGGCCTGCTCCAGACAGGTTCGATTTAAATAGGAGTTTCTATTTTTAAACCAAGAGACGCGTGAGACATGCAGTAGGGTCACGTCACACTGCGCTTCCTGCCCTGTCGCAGGTGTGGCCGGTGGACTGTGGCTTTCACCAGGGCCTCCCACATGGGTCAGGACTCTTCCTTCTCAGAGGGCATGGTTCACAGCTTGAATTTCAGGGCAGGCCTGCGTTTGGGACAGGTGGAGAGGGAGGGTGTTGCGCCTAAACAGTATTTCCAGGCCTGAAGGAGGTTGAGATGTGGTCTGTGTGTGTGGATGGGCTGAGCGGGGCAGCCCCTCCAGCAGACCGGCCAGATGGGCAGGCTCATGGGAGGCTTCCGTGGGAGGGGGAAGAGAGGCAATCTCTTTACAAAACAAAGTATTTTTATTCATTTGTATTTATTAAATGAAAAATCCCAGTTGTCCCTCTTCTGTGGTGGAATTTATTTACTATATTATAAAATAAAGTTCTATATTCTCCCTCTTCTCTAGTGTGTTTCTTCGTTGTGTCTTGTATAATGGTGTGGGGTCCTGGGCCGGGTCTGGCTGGAGCGGTGGCAGCTGCTTCTCCTACGCGGCACATGGCTGCCTGTGACCACGCAGCTCCCCTTGCACCAGGGTCACCTCTGCACGAACCGTGCTTGCCTGAGAAGGTCGTTCCTTTCATCTTGTGACCCTTCCTTTGCTCTCAGGAGCTCTCGGGGTTCTCTGTGGGGTCCATGCAGGATGGAGGAGGCTGAACGTGGACCTGGGAGAGCTCTGCTAGCCTCGCTGAGCGTTAGCAGCGGTCCTAAGTAGAGACCGGCAGGTTGTCCAGACCTTGCCAGCTTCCCCGGCTTCTCCTAATCACCGCTTTAGGCTGCAGTTGCTTCTAAATCTGCTCTAATCCTGCTTCTGCATCCCTTGGTCTGTCTCGGTTGAGCGTCATCCTTGGTTTCCCCCTAAGAACGGCTCCAGAACCCATGATTGTGGCTCGTCTCCCCCTGGGCTTGGCTCTGGCCCCCCAGCTGTGGCTCTGGCTCCCTGGATTCCTGCACCAGCTTTGACTTCCTCCAGGTCAGTCCTGTGTGCATCAGGTGGTTCCGGTTTGGGAGAGATCCCTGCTCTCCCACAATTTCTGGTAGAACTTAGCTTGCTCTGTGCAGGGCAGAAGCCCACTGCCCAGTGCCACAGTGCCAGCTTCTTTGTCTCCAGGAAAAGTGACCCTCAGATCCCATGTCTTTTGCCACCCTGCTCCAGGGACAACACTGTCCCTGCCACTGGCTGTGTGCTAGTCCCCCGTCTGGTGCACCAGAGCTCACCTGGAAGGCTGCTCGCCTCACGCCCTTTGCTGCTGTTCCCACACCGCTGGCTGTAGCAGGCTTGACATCTGGAGCCAGCAGTTCCCCAGGGCTGGAGGGACTAATGTGTCCACTCATCCTGCCGTGGCCCACCCCACACAGCCCAGACCCAGTGTCCCAGATCCAGGTCCCCACACCCAGCTTCACCTGCGGGGCCTGACCCTTGGTGCTCCCCGCTCCCACCACAGCCAGCTGCTCTGCCAGGTGCCAGGGCTCAGTGTCCATCCCCCCACCCCCATACCCGGAAGTGCCTGGCAGAGCATCCTCCCTCTGATCTGACAGCTCTGTGCTCAGCCCGTGGAGAATCTTCCACTTCCTCTGCTGGGTCACCTCACGGCTCCTCCCTGAAGTTTCCTGTCTGGCCAGGCCCTGCGGGGCTGAGGAGCAGGGCCGGTGCCCTTGAACTCTGAACAGGAGAATTCTGTTCACTTCGGCACTGCCACCTCTTGCTGTTTCTGTCCTTGGAAGAACACAACACCTGGCGTGGCTTGCTTTCACCCTCGCTTCCTCCTGGACTAATTTCCCGTTACAGGGGAAGCCAGGGTGACAGGGTGATGCATAGTGTGCAGATCGGCACGGGGCTGGAGCAAGCATGGCATCCTGTGTCTGGACGGCGGGGGGTGCCGCGCGCAGGGCACTGTCCCCAGTTCCCCGAGGCGGTGCCTCTGGAGCAGTTGGTCCGTTGCAGTTTCCTTCTGTGAGCCCAGGACTCCAGCGTGGGGGGCAGGGTGTCCTGTGCACCCCTAACGCTGGGTTTGCTCAGTGCTCAACTTGGTGCTGGCCTCTGTGCTGGGTAGAGGCAGGGGTGTGGGTGTGAGGGCCACCAGGGAAGACAGGTGCTGTGGACAGCTGTGGAGCAGGGCACGCGGGCCATAGCCTGGCAACGTGGAGGGCGGGAGGGGAGTGCTGCAGTCCCTTTGCACTGAGGCTGCCGTGGCCAGTGCTGACCTGCTCTCACCAAGCGGCCTGCTCCGAGCACTGGCCAGCTTGGAGTGTCCCCAGGTGCCACCACCAGGCTTGCCTTGGTCCAGGTGGGCGGGGCCGTGGCGAGGGGCCATGCCAGTGCTGGGGAGCCCAACTGCCCAGGGAGCCTCTGGCCCTGTCGTCTGGGGCCAGACTTGGAAGCTGCCTGGGTGCACACGCAGCTGGGAGCGGGCAGAGCCTAGCCGAGGAGGTGGGGCCGGCCTTGGGCAACCAAAGGAAGGAAGAGGCTGGGGAGTGGCCTTCTGCTGGCCCCCAGCAGCTGTGGGTGCAGGCCCTGTGCTGTGGCCCAGGGTTAGGGGTTTGGGGCCTGGCCTGGCTAGCGAGGGGCCTGTGAAGACAGGAACTTTGCCCCACAGCTGGGAAGGGGGCAGCAGCCCCCCAGTCCTACATGAGCCTGAGCCCTCAGCTCTCCTCCTGTCCCAACCGCTTCCCACGTGGCCACAGCGGGTGTGGCAGCCGAGAGAGGGTAAGGGAGCCTCAGGGCTGGGGCAGGCCAGCGGGGACAGTCATGCCGCTCCTGAGCCGGTGTGCATGCGTGTGTGCCTGTGAGCACGTGTGCACTGCTCCTGCAGCTTTCTGGCAGGGCCCCTGATGTTGGAGCTGGTTCAGGGGAACCGGAGACGTGAGGATTGTCCTTTGCTGATGGGTCTCTGAAACCCTGGTAATGTGCCAGGGAGCTGGAACCACATGAAACAGCGCGGCAGAGGGCAGAGTGGACTGGGTCTCACGGGTTTTCCCTGTTGGACCAGTCCCACCTGGTAGGGTGGCACGGCAGGGGCTGCCACAGTGCGGTCTCCACACCCATGGGCCCCTCCCACTTCTGAGCTGAGTCCAGCACACGCAAGCACATGTGTGTGTGAGAGAGAGAAGGCTGCGGGTCTGTGGGCGGTCCAGGAAGGCACTCGGCCGCCCACTCAGACTCTGTCTCGCCCTCCTCCTCCAGGGCCGTCCAGTTGCCTCCGTCCTGGCTGCCGTGGAGGGAGCCACCCCTGGGCATGGGGCTCCTGGGCCTGGCGCACACGTGTGGGTGGTGGGTATGGGGCAGGGCTGACAGGCGTCCCAGCTGGTGCACCCCAGAGCTGTCCACACTGGAGCCCGGACTGGGGCTGGCCCGTTCTCTCCTCCCACGTGACCGTGCCTGGCCACTCCTGGGTCTGCGTTCGGAGCCCCCAGGGTCAGGTGAAGCTGCCTCATGCCCTCCTGGGCCCCACTGTTCTGTGTTCCCAGGCAGGGTGGGGCGTCGCTAGCCCCCACTGTCCTCCCGGTTCCTGGTCACAGTGACTCCTGCTGTGTCGCAGGCTGTGTGAGTGAGGCCACCCCACCCCCACCCCCAGTCCGTCACCCTGCTGCATCTGCCAGAACGATTGCGCGTCTTTCCTCTTTTCAGAACCGTTAAGGTGAGGCCCATGTCTGGATTCTCCAATGGGACCCGTGTTTGTGCTTCCGGGTTGCAGTAAGTTAGCTGTTCAGTTTGGTGTGCTGCCATTTGGCCCGGTGTGTGTGGCTCATTCTCTGTGGCAGTCTGGCTGGCCCACAGCTCCAGATTCCTGGAGAAGCTCCTGACTCAGGTGTGTCTGAGAGGGTGTTTGGGAGAGGCCTGCGCCCTCAGGTGGCTGAGCTGACCGCCCCTCCCCAGCACGCCCCATGCAGAGACTGTGGAGAACAGAGAGGCACTGAGGGCAGAGCAGCTGTCCGGGGGCTGGGGCCCATCCCCTCCTGCCCTTGGGCACCTCCTGCCTGGTCCGCAGGCTCTGGACCTAGCCTGAGCCTCACCTCGGGTGACTGCAGGGGGTTCTTAGTGTCCCAGTTGGACGGGGCAGGTCCCACGATAAATGCCCCTCTGCCGCCGCCCATGTACGTGAAGGTTGTCTCCTGGCCCCAGCCTCCTGGAGCTCCCGGCTCCAGCTGTGTCTGCAGCCCAGAGTCCACGGAGCCTCAGGACGGGCCAGGGCGTGCAGGGAGCCTGCGTGTGTCTTCCCACTGCTTTTGGTCTCCTCTAGGCAACAGCGTGCTTCCTATGACGCGAGTGCTGTGTGGCAGTGCTTACGCTGTGTTCGGGAAGCAGTGACAAGAACAAAGATGAGTACGTGTGCCAGACAAATGCAGGTCTTTCCCTGTTTTTGATCCACAGTGGGTCTGCCTGAGGAGTGGAGCCTGCAGACACTGTGCTGACACAGGCGCAGGCACACACGTGTGCAGACACACACGCTCAGGCACACGCACATGCACGCGCATACGTGTCTCCTCCTGGCTCTCTCCTCACCCCCACCTTCTCCGGCCAAGGCTTTGGAAATCTCATTTTTGCCTGCTGTGCAGCCACACAGTTCAGCACAAGTGCAGCTGCCTGCAGAGCGGTGCAGGAACGAACATGGAAAATGGCAACGGTTTCTCCCTCACAACTTTTGTGCAGCCACGGCCACCAGAAATGGGGCTCCCCGCCGGGGGTTCAGGCCCCTGGCGCACTGGCTCCAGCAGGCCTGTCCTGGCTGCTGGCCTTGGAGCCTGGGAGGAAGACAAAGGGAAGGGCAGAGGGGCCCTGCAGTCCTGGCGGGCCTGTGCCTCTGTCTGGCCCGCTGGTTCTGTGGGTGGATTCTCCCCCGCTTTGCTTTCAGCGTTGGCCGGCCAACGCTGCGGCCCAGCTGCCCCCTCCGCCAAAGCCAGAGCAGGGGTGGAGGCTGCTGTGCGGCCTCGTCCCGTGGGGGTCAGCGTCCACGCCCAGCTTCCATCCACATTGGCCTTCTGTGCAGGTCCACAGGTCGCTTCTTCCTGTGCTCCGTCCGGAGGTCGAGGGTGAGCCCAGTGGGGGACAGAGGGTCTGCTGGGCTCACTCCGCCTCCATCTCGGGCAGCGCCGGAGTCCAGCGCACCCTGTGAGAACCGTCTTCCCCCTTGTCTCCCTCTGTCCCTGACGCGGTAGCAGAATGGCATGGCCTGGGTGATCTGAGAAGAGCACACCGTCGTGTTCTCACGGGCTGAGGGCTGAGGCGTCTGAGGCCTGGGGCCTGCGGCTTCCTTCCGTGGTTGGGAAAGGTGGAGGCCGTGGTCTCCTGTGGGGCGCCGTGGCCCTGCTCCCTGCATGGAGGAACCGTGTCCCTACACGGCGGGGCAGAAGGCCCCTCTGGGGTCCTCATCCCATCAGGGAGGTGGCCCTGCTGACATCCCCT